AAAAAAAAAAAAAAGGCAGGTAGAGGTAGAAGGATCACAGGTTCGAGGCCAGGCAGGGCAATTTAGTGAGACAGTCTGAAAGTTTTAAAAAAGAAAGGGCAGGGCCAGGGATATAGCTCAGTGGTTCCGCCGCCTGCCTCGCAAGCGCAAGGTCCCGAGTTCAATCCCCGGTAAAGGGCAAACAATGTGATTCAATGGTAGAGTACTGGCCTAGCATGCATAGTAAAGCCTTTGGTTCAATCCCCAGTACTGCAAAATAAAATCAAGTAAGTCTGGAGGAGGCTACCGTAGTTGGATCCCTGACAAAAGCCCGAGACAGTGACAAGCAGCCTTGAGGCTAGGTTGCTGCCTAAATCCTCCATTTCCATTTCCGGCCTTCCTCCCCAGGGCTGTGTGGCTCTGGCTGAGGATACAGTGAATTCAGATGGGTGGAGCGGGTCCCAGAAGAGGGTCGCTTCCCTGAAGAACGCCCAGCATCACAAGCGCTGCCCCTTCCCGGTCCTGCTGCTCCTCCTCTGGCCCCATCAAAGAGGAAGGAAATCCCAGAGACCCAGGCGGTCCCAGAGACGCGCTGTCAGTGGCGTTTTCTCCTCCTCAGCGCGTGGTGACTGGGGCCGCTGGCCAGGGGAAGATCTGGGGACAAGAAATGGGACAGCGCTCAAAGCGGGCACTATTTGGCATGGCGGGTGGGGATGTTTACGGTCGGAGAGATGAGGACCTTGAGAAGCTCTGGGGCCCCGGGAGATTTTACATCCACGGAGGACCGCTGAACTCTTTGGGCCAGGAGTAACATACTCTGATTTAGGGTTTGGGCTTCGTTTTGTGGCACTGGGGATTGAACCCAGGACATTCACACTGAGCTATTCATCCGCAGCCCATTTTTTATGTTTAATTTTGAGACAAGGTCTTGTTATGTCACTAAGTTGCCTACACTGGGCTGGAACTTGGGGATTCTCCTGCCTCAGCCTCCCAGAGTGCAGGAATCATAGGCATGCACTACCATGCCTGGCTTGATTTGGGTTTCTTTTTTAAGAAGATCCCTTTAGCTGGGATGGGGTGTAGACTAGTGGTACAGTACTTGCTTAGCATGCACGAAGCCCTAGATTCAACCTCTAGCACCCACTCCCTCCCCCCCCAAAAAAGAAAAGAAAAAAGACCCACCTAGCTGTTTCGTGGGTTGGGCAGACCCAATAGCTACTCCCAACTTTCCTTTGCTTGCTGCCCTGGTCTACTGTTAATGTCTTCAAGAGTTCTACCTAACCTCTCTTCCAGCCGGTTTAAAGTTTCTAATATTTAGATCTTGATCCATTTCAATTTGAGTTTAGTGCATGGTGAGAGATATAGGTCTAGTTTTAATCTTTGGCAAGTTGAAACCCAATTTCTCCAGCACTAGTTATTAAAGAGGCTATCTTTCCTCCAATGAGGGTGGTTGGATCCCTTGTTGAAGATGAGGTGGCTGAGTGTGTCTGGAGTTGTTTCTGCAGCTTCTGATCTGTTCCACTGATCCTGGGGTTTCTTTGCGAGAACCATGCTGTTTTTATCACAGTAGCTTTGCAATATAGTTCCAAGTTGGGGATTGTGATACCCCCTACCTTCCCTGGTCTCTGTTGAGCTTGAGGTGGGCCTTTGAGATGGAGAGAGGGAGGACTTCCAAGAAATCTCTTTCGTGTTCAGGGGGACAGAGTTGACTGGTGTGGCTCTCCCCTCTCCTGCCTGACATGCAGATGTGATAGCCGGAGCACAGCAGCCTTCTTGCAACCAGCAGGTGCTGGGAGAAGGCTGCATGTGAGAGTCAAGGCTGCCCTGGCTATTCATCAGCACCCCAAGACTTGGACTCCTGCCAGTTGCCAGACTACTAGGTGAGCAAAGCACCCCCTGTAAATTACTGTAGATTGGGTTGTGTGCTACTTGCAGCTAAATATTTCCCAGCAGCCACAGTGGACAGAGCAGAGGGGCAGATGACACAAAGGCAGCTCTGACCACTGAGGTTGCCTCCCCACAGGTCTCTCCAATTCGTCTTATTTGGTCTAATTTGTCTTCCACACCATCACACTCGTGAGCTCCTTGTGACTTAAGACCCTTCACAGGCTCTCTATTGCCTACACAGAAACGCCTAACCTCCTTTGTCCAGGACACCGAACCTTCAGTGATCTGCCCACCTGCTGTCTGCTGTCTCCTCTCACCCTGTCCCAGCCACCATCCATCCCATAGGTCCAGTCCAACAACTCTAAGAGGTAAGTGATGTAGCCAAGGCCACACAGCTGCTAAGCGATGGATTCAGATTTAAACTCTGGTTTGTAAAATTAGACTTCACTACTCTCACCTGCAAGTCTGAAGGCAGGTAACTGGGAGCTGTCAAGTCCTCAAAGCTGCCCTCGAGGGCCCCACGATCTCGCCTTCTGTTTTTCGGGCCACGTTAGAGGACTGGTTTCCAACCTTGCCCTGTTACTTAAGGCGGCTGCTCGGCTCTAGGTCCGAATCAGAAAGAAGAGGAAGGCCACACCAACTCCATCTGTTCACCCCTCTCTCTCTCCCTCTTTCGAAAACAAAAGCTTCCCTAGAATCTGGAGCTGTTAGGGAGGTCATGAGGAAGAGCTGTCACCAGGCAGGGTGAGACCTGCTGGGGACTCTGACCAGACCTGCCTGGAAAACCCTTTCCAGCCAGTCCACGCCTGTGTCCCTCCATCCTCCCACTGCGGCACCCACTTCATGGCAGGTGTGCAGCCGTGACGTAGCCACCCACTCAGTTACGCGTGCGTTCATTCCCTCCATGAAGGCGAGCACTTGGTCTAGGCCATTCACCGCTGGGAGCAAGCATTTCACTGGTGAACAAGTTGGATTTTTAATTTGCTTCCCACCCTCGTGAAGCTTTCATTCTAACAGGTGAGACATCCAGACAGGTAAAGGTATGGGAGGAAAGAAATCCCCTCTCCAGACCCTAAATGACCGCGCAGTGGGAGGTCTACCTCCTTCCCCAGGACCTGGCACAGAACTTCACACAAAGTAGAAGCCCTACAACCACGTGTTAAATATAGTCCTTCTCGGGGAGGCTTTGAGATGTATTTAAATGTATGCATTTTAAGAGAGACGCTATCTTATTTCCACCAGGAGCCCCCAGGAACAAGCTCTGTCAGCAAAGTTGCCCCAAGCACTCTGCACCCTGCAGCTGCTTCATCCTCCCTACCCTCAGGCTATGGCTCTGCTCCCGCTCCGGGGAGAAGGCCCAGGCTTGCCTGAGATAAAGCTCCACACCAGAGGGCCTCCTCGGATGTGTCTTTTTGCTGAAGGCTTTGTTTGGATTTTCTAAACAAAGCTATCTCACTGTCAGTGCCAGCCCTGCCAAAGTGTGATTCTGAAAGCACTTAAAATAACTCCTTGGGTCCTTAGGCCACAGCTGCTTAGGCGTAGCTTTAATGGTCCTTTAAATGCCCTGTTTTGTTGCCCTTTCTACTACTTCAGGTGACCGCAGCTGCAAACAAGGCAGGCAGAGACAAGGGAAATAAAAATAATACAACCCCGGCTTTGGTCCGTGCTTCTGTTGCTATGGTGATGTTGACAAATGACACACAGGTGATCGTGGAAGTAGCGGACGGTGAAGGCCAGAGCGGGAAGGGACAGGAAAGATCCTCAAGCCTCCCTGACAGGACTTCACTGAGGCCACCTGGCCCACTCCCCTGCCTCTTAGTGGAAAACCAAATGGATGAGCAGCTTGTTCCTAAAAGTCCCCAAAGGCAAAGTCCACTGTCTCCGAGTCACCGTGAGGCTGGCCTTTCCCAGTATGCATGACCCTGAGTGGCTTTCCAGTGTCCAAGCTCACTCTCCGCATCCTGCAGCCCAACCCCCTTCCTCTCGCTTCTGTGGAAACAAAAGTGACACCTGACACTCAGTTCCATCCATGATGAAGTGTGAACTTGCTTGTTTCTGCCCCTTCGTGACCAGCTGTACCCTCAGCGTCCCCACTGCTTTCTGCCCCAGGCCTGGTTCTGGGAGTGGCTGCAGTGGGAACGGCCCCTGCCACCCGGGCCTCTGGCCGCCAGCCAGGTACGAGACAGCCCAGAGTGTCCTCCTCCTCCCCCGTGAGATAAGGCACGGCCAGCAAGAAGGTCTGCTTTTAATGAGGATCTCTAAAAGCCTGTCACAGCAGACAGAACCCAAAGTAGCCTGGAAACCCACGCTGACGGCAGCTGGGCTCTCCTGCTTCCAGATGACCCTGCGAAACATAAACGGATCCGCTAAATTAGGAGGGTGGCCTTTTCCACCTCGCATTAAAAAAAAAAAAAAAAAATTTCCAGCCTTCAAAATGGTTTCGGGAATCTTCCTCCCCACACAGCACAGGATGCATCATGGTGCAGCCCAGTTCAAAGGTGAGGGACCGGAACCTGCGCTCCCAAGATGCACCCAGTGAAACTGCTGCAGCTGGACACCGAGGTCCCGGGAAAGACTGTCAGCAGGAGCATCCACCCGCTCGGTGCTGAGGCCCCACCCTTCCCTGCCACCCACCATTCTGTTTCCATTTCTCCTAATCCAAGTCACCAGTCAGGAAGATCCCTGCCACTGCCATGCTATACAGTTTCTGAGCCTCTCTTCAGTCCCTAATCCCTCCAAACAGTGTCAGGAAACTTAAAGGCTTTCATGAAACTTCTCCTTGGCTTCATTTGCTTTCTTTCGCACCCCGGACCAATAAACTGGTACTTCTTTTTGCAGGAGTGAAGCCATGCCATGTGTAAGGGAAGTTGACACCCACCAGAGGCTGGGTTCCTTCTGATCTCTCCCAACAGCTGAGCATGGTGATTTTGATAATTAAGTCACTTTCTTGTCTTTAATTAGCTGCATGTGAATCTTGTTGGGAAGTCTTGGATCCGTGAAATAGTCTAGGATAAAAGTCAAAAAGAAGAAATCATCTATACTCAAGGGGGAAAGACTGAGAGGGAGACAGCTTACTCTGCTAAAAAATGAGGATGGCTTGGTCCTTGGATGGCTATGGGTGCCCTGCTTTAGTAGTCACATGGCCCCCACCAGAGTGGCTCAGGACAAGGGAGCTAACAGTCCCAGGAAGGGTCAACACAGGGCACTTCTCCTACACTGCTCCAGGCATTTGCCGGCTGCCTGATGACACACAGGGAGCCACTGGGTCTCCGGAATTCTCTGGATTTTCTGTTCTGGGCCCATTTCGGGCCCCAAATAAATGCTAACTATTATTCTTGTCTCCACTTGGCTTGCCAGCTCCTGCCTCGGAAGTACCGGGTAGCCCTCTCTGAGAGCCTCCGGAAGAGCCAGGCTCTGCAGGATGACGACAGAAAAGGGTTTTTATCCCACTGGCAGCGTGTGAGTCACAGGCAGCATCTGCTGTGGCAGCAGAGACAGACTCAGATTCTGCTGGGAGCAGTTTGAGGAGGCAAACAGCTCTCAGAGTTCACTGCACCCAAGAAATTGGCTGGCCCGGCACCTTCCCTCTAAATACCATTGACCTTGAGCCCTCTTGGGCAGCTGCATTCAGTAGAATCACTTGGGGAGCCTTTAAAACTATGGATGGGCTCAACCCAGACTAATTAAGTATAAATCTCTAGGGGTGGAGCCTGAGCATTGGAATTTTTAAAAAGCTCCCCAGGTGATTCTAACGTACAGCCAGGGGCAGAACCACTGTAAGATTCCCAGCAAAAGGGCTGCCATTGCATTCCTTTCTTCCTTTTGGATTCTCACAATTCTTAATCCTTTCCAGAGGAAGTTCTGCCTCGTTTCTTATCTGGCCTCATTTTGAGGAATCGACAGTGGAGCAAGGAAGCCTCTGAAACAGCTCCCCTTGGGGCTGGCAGGTGAAGGAGGACCCCAGACTGGGCAGCAGGAACACTGGCTGCTGTCCACATCTACGCCACCAACCACACCTGGCACGGATGCTGGCACGCTCACCTGCAGCAAATTCTAGCACGTTGTCCGGCCTTTTCAGGAACATCTCTCTGGAAAACATGAAGGGACAGGGTCAGAGGGGAAGTGGACTGTAAGGCGGGTGTGGCACATCCCTCCTGGAAGCCAGTAACCCAGGGGACCTTGGACGAAGACACTTCATGCATAATTTTTCTTCAACTCAGGATCTAAGGCAAAGAGCCAAACATTCTGAATGGCAATAAGCCTAGGCTGTTGCTCATTTCACAAAGCAGCTGTGCTTCACCCAGGTGAAGCTTGTCATTCCAAAAACTTTTATCATTATTATTTTATTATTTTGCAGTCTTGGCACTTGAATCCAGGGCCTTTGCACTGAGCTACATCTCCAGACTTTCTTTCTCACTAAATTGCCTGGGCTGGGCTCACATTTATAATCCTCCTGCCTCACCCTCCCAAGGCTGGGATTCTAGGTGTGCACCACCCTGCCTATTTCGACAGAGCTAGGATCAAGCTCAGGGCAGGAAGCTAACGGGAAGAGCACACTGCATGGTCCCCAGGGGGCTCATGTGTGGTGAGACAGGCAAATCCACAATGTTGAGGCCGGTTAACCATGGATTCCCATGGCGGTGGGAGGGAATAAACAAAGCTGAAGACAGTGTCAGATGGTTATTGGCCCTGCACCATGATAACAGCCCAAGTCCCAGTGCCCTGGAAATGTCTTACATCCCCTCAAGTTTTATGGTTCATAAAATATGCTCACAAATATCATCTCACTTTACGGCATCTCTGTGAAATGGCAATTACTGTGTCCTCATTCTACATATGATGAAACCCAGCCTCCAAAAGGTTAATCATTTGCCCAAGTTCATAAAGACAGCAAATAAACCCAGGCACTATAATTCCAGCACTGGAGGCTGGGGCAGGAGGATTGCCTCGAGTTAGAGGCCAGCCCCAGATACCACCAAGCTACTGAGGCCTGGTTTCCATTAGACACAGAAGAGCATCCCCTGGTCGTCAGCACCGGTGCTTACAGCACAGTACACTGGAAGAACAAGGGGCCCTGTAAGCTGCTCAGCAATGTGAGGAAAGTACTTAACTTCTCTGAGACTGTCACACTTGTAAAATGCGAAGGATAATTTGGGTTGTCTGTTTCGTTTTTGTTTTGTCTTGCTAGGTAGCCTAGGCTGGCCTGGAACTCTTGATGTTGGGATTACAGATGTGCACCACCACACCCTGCATGCGTCTGTCTTTTGTAGAGTTGACACACACATGACAACCAGCTTGGGGCATTGGACCAGTGACAGAAGATTGAGAGGTGGTTACAACACAATGTGATGACGGCTCGGGTAGAGAAACAATCGGTGCCGAGAAACGGAGGCCATTATAATTATTTAAACCTTGCTGGTTTGACTATAGCCTAATAGTATTTGAGACCACTCTGTTGTTTTCATCCATTGCTGATCCATTTTTTTTTCTTTCTGAAGTTCTCTGCCTTTCAATGCATTAGATTTTTCCACTCAAGCAAATGCCAGGGTGAAATGCAGTGTGGGAAAGGAAAGACCATGCTGCAGCATACACTGGAAAACGGTCTTCTTTTGCTAAAGAAATAAGTACCTATCAACCCTTGGAGTTTTTCTACAATGTTCTCAGGTAGGGAAGAGGAAGATATGTGAATTTATTTATTTATTTTACTTATTTTGTTTTGTCTCACTATGTTACCCAGGCTGTCCTTAAACTCTCAGTGATCCTCCTGCCTCAGCCTCCTGAGTACTGGGCTTACAGGTGTGCACCACACCTGGCTCTTAATTTAATATTTTAAAACCCTACTAGTGATCTTGTTTAGCTCCTCTGGTTGAGAATAACGTTCCATATCCAGTGGCTGCTTGTGCGGTTTCTCAAAGCCAAATTCCCTCTTCCAAGGGTCATATTTATTTATCTTCACAGTTAAAGTGTATGAATATTAGTATTTTGAAGACTTTAGAGGCCAGATGTGGTGGCACACGTCTGTAATCCAAGCCTTGTGAGAGTCTACAACAGAAGGATTGCAGGTTCAAGTCCATCCTGGGCAAGTCAGCATCTTAGCAAGAACCTGTCTCAAAAAAAAAAAAAAAATTAAAAAGGAGCCAGGCATAGTGGTGCACACCTGCAATCCCAGCTCTGGTAGGCTGAGGCAGGAGGATCACTGGGGGTTCAAAGCCAGCCTGGGATACATAGTGAGTTCAAGTTCAGCCTGAACTGCATAGCAAAACCCTGTCTCAAAAAACAAATAAAATAAAAGGTTAGGAATGTAGCTCAATGTGAAGGCCCTGAGTTCAATCCCCAGTGCCACAAAAACAGACACACACACACACACACACACACACGCAAACAGAAAAGAATTTAGAGATAACTGAAGGAAATCTCTAAGAGATCGTTTAAGAAAACCTCAGCATCACAAATCCAAGTGTTAGAAAAATTTTGATTTTAGGATTTTTTCTAATTTTTAAGAGGTTAGAAGCAACAGGGGGCGTTTCAAGAAAGGACACTCATATTCATCTACCCCCAGCAAGATTTGGTAAAACTGTTCAGCAGCTGTCCAAGGTCAGTCCGAAAAACACCTACCTGAAGAAGCCGCTGAGGAGCAACTTCACTTCCTTGCGGGTCCTTAGGTACTTTTCATTAGCAATGCGCGTCTGGATCTGGGGGCAAGAGCAAAAGGTCCCGACGCGGGTCGCCCCTGGAGGTGCGACGGGCTGGGAGAAACGACCTGCGCGTTTCTTAACCTCGTCTTTCCCGGGGTGCCGAACCCTTCAGCCGCCCCTCTTCGTTCCACTTCTCTCCTGGCGCCTCCGGCTCAGACTTAGGGGCCTTCACCGAAGTTCTTGGTACCTAACCTGATTTACCTGGCAGTAACTTCGGCCCGTTTCTCCCGCCGTATTCCTGCTTTAATTCTTCCCGCACTTTTAGACGCCCCGAGCTCGGCTCTGGGGCCGGAAGCTCGGAGATCCGCCAGGGGTCTCCCCGGAGCCCCCCCCCTGGATCGGGCACAGGCCTTCTGTCTGGGGATCCTGTCCTGGGAGCAACATTGAGAGAGGCGGGCGTGGGGAGCACCGGCTCACGCACCTTGAAGTTCCGCAGCCTCTCCAGCTGCGCGGGGCTCAGGAGCCCGGGGTCGCGTCCCGGAGGCGGATCCTGTGGCGTCGCCATCTTGCCGCGGTCGTCAAGGCGACGGGCCTCCCGCCAGTGAGGCCCCGCCCCCGTCCCGCCCCCGCCCTCTCCTTGCAAGCCGGAGAGGCCTAGAAAGCAAAGTGGGGTCCGCTCTGCAGCTGAGACGTCAACTTGGATCTAGATTTGGGGTTGATTTCCCAATTTAATGTATATGCAGTGAACCTTTCTTATTGGCCGTACCTAACCTCAAACAGTATTTTTTCTTAGCCCTAGACTAGAACAAAACAGGAAGAAGTTTCCTAAGGCAGCCTCTCCCGGAAGCTGGCTCCCTACCTGGCCAGATGTTGGAGGAAACCTGGAACTGGGGAAACCGAATCTAGGCTTCTTTCCTTCCCAATGGCCAGTAAGCCAACCTTCTGTCGTTCCTGGGATATTTCTCAGTGCGGACTTGGAGTCTTAACACGAAAGCACTCGGAGCACAGCCTCTGCAAAGCAACCGTCTCAGGATGCTGGAAAAGACCAGCGGAACATGAAACATAGAGCCAGAAAGCTGAAAATAGCGGCCTGGAAAGGCCAGGAGCCTGTCTGTCATTACACATGGAGCGCCACAGTAACACGCCCGGCAGAGGCTTCTGAGGAGATGAACAGAGAACCGAAAAGGGGGGCTGTCTTTCCAGATTTGTGAACAACTTCCCCAAGGAACAGGGAAATAGAGTGAGGAACAAGCTCAGCATCAGCCACTGGGGCCAGGGGTCCCTCAGTGGTCGACCTCTATTTTTCTCAGCAAAGACTGAGAAATCAGGGAAAATGCTGGCAGTTCCCAGCTCAGGGAAAGAAGTCAATTCCCAGGAACCCCTTCCGGGTCCGGTCCGGAATCATTTTGGTTGGTCTGTTTTTCAGGAGAGAGAGTCAACAGAATGAGAGAGATAAGTGGCCATCTGTCAGAGGGTTATTTTTCTGACAGGACCAGACATTAAGCAGGCCTGTCTCTCCCCACACTCCGCCCCTCAAAGAAGCGAACGAGGAGGCTCCGGAGCTGCATGGGTCAGTGTGGTCCTATGTTGAAGACTTAGTGAAAAAGTATACAGTAACTCATTAATAACTTGGTATTGACTGGATGTTCACATAGTATTTTGGACATAGGTTAATGTATTATTAAAAGTTATGAGGGCCGGGGATTTAGCTCAGTGGTTCCTCTGCCGCCTGCCTCGAAAGCGCAAGGTCCCGAGTTCGATCTCCGGTACACACACACACACATACACAAAGTAATGTTACTTTTTTAATGGGTATTGGAGATTTTAAAGTTATATATATATTTATGTGAGACACCATTGGAGTCCGGACCTACAGATGTATTCACACACTTGTGTGCATGCATAACTCTCTCCATCCTGTCACCCCTGCATAAAATAATTGACACCCTGCAGAACCTTCTGCAGGTATGTGATCTTGTGCTTTGAGAATCAGTCATGCTGTTCTTGATTGATTGTATCCTGTGGCCCAAATACCCACCTGTGAGAGAGGCTGCTTTTGTCTCCTTAGCAGATCTCTTTACTCACTATTGTGTGTTACACTGGGCTGCCTCACCTCCCTACTTGAGGTAGAAGCCACTTGAGGGCAGGAAGATTACCTAACTGGTTGTCTGCACACTCTCATACATTCTGCTGCGATGTCTTCATCTGTATTCAATCAGGGAAGCCAGTCATATCTGATGACTAGCCACCTCACCCACATGTGCCACCAACTTTTGCCCTTTCTGAAAAAATATACCAATTATCTGGCATTTCTCACTTTCTAGGGATCAGAGCTCTCTCTCTTCATAAAGTCAATAGTCTTTTTTATGTAGGGCAGCTTAGCTCTGAGTGCAGAGGAACACGGGGATGAGCTTGGGTTGGTGGCAGGGAAGGTATCTTGGAGGAATTAGGCTTTGAAGCCACATTTCCTCCTTAGAGAAACTCCCCCAATGGGCCCCTGAGGGACAGGGCCCCACAGTCATCCTCATGCATCTCCTCTCAGACTGGTACGTCCAATCTGGCAGCTCCTGAATGAGGGAAGGGAAGAAGTGGAGACATTTTTCTGCCTGCCACTGTCTCCCTAATTACTGACTGGGAGGAGGAGCGAGAGGAGTTCGTTGAAATTCATTTTCGTGAATGTTTAATATTTCAGTTAATGTGATTAGACTCAGGCCTGAATGAGCAGCAGGGCGGCAGATCTTCGGAGAAGGCACAGAGTAATGAGATCAAGCAGGCTGTGGGGTCCTCCCTTCTCTATTCTCAGAGGGTGAGATCTGTTCAGCATCTCCATAAACACAGATCAGATTAGAAAGCAAGAAAGGGGGGGGGGATGGGCCAGGAGAATGGAAAGTTACTTTGGAGAATAGGTTTGCACTTTCAGACTCTCCGGTACTGCCAGCTTCATCTTCTGAACACATACCACGAAGTCTTTCTCCACTTTCCTCTCCTCACCATCTTAGCAGACCTATTGGGAGGACCTGGGACCTATGCGATGCAGTCCACTCAGGACTACACACACACACACACACACACACACACACACACACACACACGCATGCGCACACACACACACCTGCCAGGGTGTGGCTCTGGGCCACAGAAGCCCGGCTAAGGAAAGATGGCAGGTGGTCAACAGAAGCAAGCAGTGGGAAGGAAGACTGTTTCCTTCAGGCTTAACTGAAGCTGGAAGAGGAAGAAAGGCCGGGCTTGGTGCTGGCCCCATTCCTGAGAGGGATGTTGATGTGGGAGTTCCATGTGTGGACTCAGCAGCCAGGCTGCCTGGGCTCCAATCACAGCCAGATTTCTCTAGCTTCGAGGCCTCAGGCAAGTTATTTATTTGCTCTGCACCTTGGTTTCTTCGCCTCTACTTGGAGGTAGTGATAGAATCCCCATCACAGGGCGGTGGCGAGGATGTAATAAGTTGGAGAGTAGAACACGTTTGGAACAATGCCCGGGACACCCTAAGTGCCACATAAGCGCTGACTGTGGCTACTATTTCGCCTCCAGATGAGGAGGCCACCTGCCGTGATAGCTCAGGACTGGAGGCTGCTGGGATTCAGCTGGGACACATTTCAGAGACACCAACCACACCGAGGAGACATCAGCTGCACCCAGGGTGAAGAAGGGAACGACAGAGCCAGTGCTCCACAAAGGCCGCGGGGGCTGGCGCGGGACAGAGCTGCCGCTGCCGGGGTGAGGTCAGCAGCGCCCCCACGCCCGGGGCAGGGCTGGGCGCCCGCCCCGAGGGTCAGGCTCCTTCCAGGTGGCGGAGCTCACTGGTCACACGTGGAAGTAGGGTGGCTTTGGGGACTAAGGGCCCCAAATGTGCTCCCCGCCTACCCTTCCGGCCCTCCTCAATTAGAGCCAGTCCCACCCAGGGAACCCAACTGCGGGGAGCGCACAGAAAGGAACAATTGGCTTCTCCGCCCTGCGGAGAGCAGCTGTGTGTCCCACTGGAGGCGTCAGGACTGCGCCCCCGGCAGAGGGCAGAGGTCTTCGCGCGGAGTATTCATTAAGCACCTACTACACACGAGAGACGGGGGGCGCGGGGCACTGATGGGAAAATGCGGAACTAACCGGCGTCTCGGTCTGCGAGGAGCTTCCAGCCAGAGCCCCTCCGGCCCACTCCGGGGACACAAACCCCGGAGGGAAAGAAGGGGCTGTCGGCAAATGCCAGAAACAGAGTTTCTCCTGGTTCCTTTTCTGGAAAACATGTAATTCCCTTCCTGCAATCGTGTCCGCCTGCTCGCCCCTTCCCGCCTTCCTTCCCATTTTTCCTCTCTGGGCCTCCCTACTCTTCTCCCTCCAGACTTTGCTACCTGCGTCCCTCCCCACCTACAACTCTCTCTTTCCCCCTCAACCTGCCCAGCTGTCCTGTCCCGTTTTCCACTCCGTGGTTTCTTTCCTCGGATCCCCACTCAGGGCTGCCCAAATGCCAGCACCCTCCTCTCCTCCCCACCCCCAGCTCCCATCTCCTGGGTCCTCTCTTCCAGCACCGGGGACAGCTCCAGCCCCCGGAACAATGGACCCCACCTTAGGGCTCCTCTATAAATTCTCCATCCTATTGCCTTGCCTACCTCCCGGTTGGGGAGTAAGATGGGGGAAGGGTGGCTATCAACAGGGCCAGCTGCTCTTCTGGGGGCGGGAAGGGAGTCGGGAAGGATGGCGATAGGAAGAGGGCGTGGCTCCCGCCCGGGTTGTGCGCCTCTCTCCGGGGTAGAGAATTTGCATCCCACCCCTGAGACTGACATCACCGCTGTCAGGGGAAAGGGGGTGGGAGTGGGGAGGGGGGTGTGGAGGGGGAGGTTTTTGTTGAGCAGAGCGCGGCCGGAGAGCAGAGCTCCGGGACCCAGGTGACCGGGACGCAGGCAGCCCCAGCGCCGGGAGCAGCCAGCAGCAGCCCAGGCCCGGGGACGGGGAGGGGGGAGGGGGGCGGCAGGGCAGAAGGGACCCCGGAGCCCTGCCGCCATCAGCAATCAAGCATCTGGCATCAGGGATCTTCGGACCCAGCAGAAGGATCAGCCACAGGGGAGGTGTCCTCCCGGGGAAGCCAACGAGAGCTCCAGCTGCCCCACGTCAGGAGGGCCCCTCACTGAAGCTGCTGGCAACCATACCTCGGGCCCCGGCCTCAGTCTTCTGCCCGCCCCTTCCTCGGGCCCTTTCCCCACCTCCGCCTCTCACTGCCCCCCCAGGTCTCAGTCCCGAGCCCAGCGCCCCGAAGCCACCGCAGCCCCCTGGGTCCTGGCCACTCTGAGCCCGTCCTGGGAGCGCCAACCGGCCTCCGGGAGGGCGAGCTCTGGCTTGGGCTATGCCCCCTGGCGGCTCGGCAGCGTCTGCCTAGACCCCTGACCCCGAGCCCTCGACCGCGGGGCCTCCTTTGTGTGAAGAGCGGCTCCTTGCTCAGAAGTGTGGTCGGGGGCCCCAGGGAGAGCTGGCCCTGGCCGGCCCCCGGCCCGCACCACTTGCATCCCCGTCGGGCAGCTCCCCTGGCCTCTGGGCCTCTCCCTGCTCCCCTCGGCCCCTCCTCCTGGGCCGCCCCAATGAAGGAGCCGGATGCCATCAAGCTATTTGTGGGGCAGATCCCGAGGCATCTGGAGGAAAAGGACCTGAAGCCCATCTTCGAGCAGTTTGGTCGGATCTTTGAGCTGACTGTCATCAAGGACAAGTACACCGGGCTGCACAAGGGTGAGGGGTCAGGCCAGGCCGGAGAGGTGGCAGTGGGCGGCTGGGAGGCTGGGAGGAGGAGAAAAGCCAGGGGAGAGACAAGTGGCCAGAAAGGTCTGCTATGGGAGAAGAGTCCAGGGGCTCGGGACTGTGCATGGAGGGGTCGGAAGAGAACTCAGCTAGAGTGAGCAGGGGACTCCGGGACAGAGGGCTGAGGGGAGCTTTTGGGGTGAAGAGTTGTCAAGAGGGCGGCAGAGATGTGGATCCCAGAGATGGGGGTGCGTGTTAATGTCCCTGGATGAATTTAAGAACGCGTGGAGGGACAGAGAGCTGGCTTGACAGATAAGGGGCTGGGCAGGAGTGTGTGAGTGTGAGTGTGAGGAGTGTGTGTAGGCTGAGAATCCGAGCAGCCTCAGAGAGTGTCAGGACGGAGGTCAGGACTTCACGTAGTGTAGCAAGAGTAGAGAGGCCAGAAGAGAGGGACTAGGGAGCCGGCCGGAAAGCCAGAGCTCGGGGGTGATCTGGGAAGTGGGGAGGGGTCAGAAAGTTAAGAAGGAGGATGCCCCTGAGGCCTCCCTCCCAGGGCTGTGTGGCTAAGCAGGCCTGACCCTGGGGTCAGAACCTGGAAAGCACTGAGTGTCTTTGGGCCATCATCCCTCCCTGCCCTCACTGGGGCCAGGGAAAAGGCACTTCTGCTGTTTCCCTGTCCCTCTGGGTTCCGGGCTCCACCATGTACCTGCCTCCAGTAGAGTTGGGGAGATTCGAGGAAATAGGGAAAGCAGGAGAGGAAAGGGGTGCTGATGACCAAGATGGAGGGAGGAGAAAGCGAAGGAGAGAGGGAAAGGAGACTATCAGGGGAAGGGGAGAGCACACTCCCGCACTGCTGGCAACCCCAGGCAACACCAAGTCTCATCGCTGAGCAGCCCCGGTGCCCCCTTGCTGTTGCTGTCTGGATCACTGCCCGCGTTCAGACCTCAGGTCTCCACGGTGTCTTCCCCTGTGATACCTCCCACCCTAGCACCCAGGAGATGGCCAGAGAGGAAAAGCTCCGTCCTCAGTCTCAGGGTAGCCCTTAGGCAGGGCAGCCCGGAGACTCACCCCTGACCCCGCTCTGCCCTTGCCATCCTCAGGATGTGCCTTCCTGACATACTGCGCCCGCGATTCAGCCCTGAAGGCCCAGAGTGCCCTGCACGAACAGAAGACGCTTCCAGGGGTGAGTCCCATCCTCTGCCGGCCCCTGGGTGGCTGAGCAGGGCGTTAGAGACCAGGTAGGGGTTGCACCCTCCCAGGAGACTGAACACATCCCCTCAGCAGGAAGTCCCTCTCTGTTCCTAGCATCGCTTTTCTTGCTAGAGATGCCTGCATTTCCCCCGTCTAACCCGGAGAGGAGGAGAGGAGCGATTAGTGGAGTAAACATGACCTTTTGAGCAGATGCAGTCCCCCCACCACCCCGACCCCGCCTGCCCGCAGGGGGCAGCGCTGGGAGGACTGAGCCGGTGGGGGTGTGGACAGGGGACTTGGACACCACGTGCATGTGGGGCAGGGAGAACCCAAGGCGCCCAGACACCCTTTCGGCTCTGGGGAGACTGCTGGGGGCTGGGGTGGGGAGAGAGAGCAGCTGGGGCTGCTGGACTGGCATCCAGGTGCTGGCTTCAGAGTTCTGACAGCTCCCCTCTCCTCTCCCAGAAAGACCCTGGGAACAGAGCAACCGGGCGACAGGGTCAGGGGAGCAAGCGAGAGGGGCCTGACTGCCGCTTGGAGGCAGGGGTGCCTCGGATGTGGCCTCCCTCCTGCAAGGCCACACCCCTCTGTTTCCTCTCAGCCAGCTTTGCAGAGGGCCCCAAGCCTGGCCTGGCCCCTGAGAAGCAGGAGAAAGAGTCTCAGACTGTCCTGTGCACAGAACCGGGTGGGGTGGGGTCCCTGCTTCTGCTTGCTCCTTCTGGACCTCACTTCGGGTCACCCTTCAGCACAGCCTTGCCCAGCATTCTCCGGGTGATGGAGACACACTTGTCCCGGCCCCCACTCCATGCCCACATGCGAAGTAGAGAAGGGAACTGAGCATCCATCTTTCCTAGGTGGGAAACAGACAAAACAGATGGGGGTGGGGACAGACCCTTCTGAGCTCCTCACTGTTCCTCGACCCTTGAGTTCTGCCAGGAAAGCCAACCCAGGCTTGTCCTGCCGGTGGCCAGAACAGTTACCACCACACATGGGGGAGGCCCCGTGCGTGAATGTGAGCAGGCCCAGGGACCCAGGCTGGTGTGTGTTCATGCGCTCTCGCGTATGAGTGTCCATGGTCGAATGTGGGGATGCAGACACGTGCAGCCTGGTCCCCATCCAGTCTCAGTTTCCCCTCCCTCCCTCCCTCCCTCTTCCCAGCAGTTTTCATCCTGACGGCTGCCTTGCTTTCCTGTTGCCTCCCCATTTCAGGGCCCCTGCAGAAACCAGAGCAGGGTCAGAGGAAAAGAGGGTGTGCAAAAGCGAGAGCAGCCTGGGGACTCCCTGGGGTGGACATGAACCCCCAGGGCAGAGCGTCCGGGCAGGGACCTCACCCTGCCGTCCCTTGCAGCTGCCCAAGTGGCTCAGGCAGAGCCCTGTCGGGGTGGGGAGGGCGGCTCCTGCTCCTCCTAAGGACAGCAGGCCCGGGTAGGGTGAGGGAGGAGTGCGCCCCAGTTAATGATTGTCTAGCCTGGCTCCCTGGTTCCCAGGTGACACTGAGCTTTACTGCTGGCCCTTGCCCCAGGGGACAGAGTCTACAGGGACCTGACAGAGTTTCCAGTAGAAATGAGGGGTTTACCCTGGGGGGGACCCCTGTATTAGAGGTCTGGGGGCCAGACCCAAAGAACCAATGACAGCAGATGTCTGTCTGACCAAGCCCTGCTGTACCCGAGTCTTCTCTCTCACCACCTGCCTCCCCTCAGTGTGTGTGTGTGTGTGCGCGCGCGCGTGTGTGTGTGTGTGTGTGCACGCTGCACAATTCGGTTGGGAAGTTCTTCCTGCTGTCAGACCTCCCAGCCTTCCCATTGCATGTTCTTTTAAAACAAGGGCACTTAGACCTCATTCTTGGCCCCTCATCTTTGTCACCCCACATTCCAGGAGGTGCTCCTCCATGAGGGGGATGTTTTGGGTGCTCAGAGAGAGTGGGGCTTGGCCTGTGACCGTTGAACCCCACTTCCTCTTCTCTCCCGGGGTGGCTCTGCCACAGGTCCTTGGATCTGTCCTGTGAGCAGGGTGTGGCTTCCAGGGTGTGGGGGGCTGAGGGACACCTCTGTCGAGCCTGCTCAGCTGGGAAGGTGGGCTCCAGCCCCACTTGCCTGTGGTCTGGGTCACAGGTAATAGGAATGCAGCCAGGAGTGGCAGGGCCCCAGATTCTTCGGGGACATTGAGCGCCTCTGGGAAGTGCAGTCTTTTCTGCTGGTGAGGATGGGCCTTCAAAGTGACCCGGGTGATGGAGCAGTGGGGGGATCCTTGCTTGGGGTATAAATAGCCCCTTCTTCTTTGGGAGGCCCTGGGGAGGGCTTATCACCTGGCGAGTGGTAGCTAGGAAAGAGCAGAGGTGCGGCTGTGCTCGGTTGCCAGGTAAACAGAGCACAGCTGGACTCAGGGGAGGGGGCAGGTGTGCAGAGTTGAGCTAACAAAGCCTGGGCTTCCCACAGGAAGTGCCAGGCCAGGGAGGAGGTGGCTGGGGCTGGGGGGCACTCAGGGAGCCTTCCATCACCGCGGCGCTCTGTGGTCTGCATTTGTGTGTGTCTTTGTGCACATCCACATCACTGTGGGTATTTATTGCTCTGCTATTTTTGTGCCTGGAGGCCTGTCCAGGGAGGGAACCGCATCCTTTCTCTCTGGGCCTCAGGTTCCCCATCTCTGCCCAGAACAGCAAATCCCCAGGGGCCTGTTGGGAAGGGGTCAGTGCTCGGCACAGCGTCCCTGGCTCTTCCTCCTCCTCGCAGAGCAGAGCGGGGCGGGGCCCGTGAGGGAATCTCCCGGTGGCTTTGGTGATGGCACTGAGGCGGGGAGAGGATGACAGCAGACCCCTGAGCCTGGGGCCCCAGCCCTTCACAGACACAAACACACGCACCCTCTCCTAAGGAGACCGCCGCTTGGATGGGATAATCCCAGACTGGTGAGAGATAAGCGGGTACACAGTGGCTGGGATTTGTGTGGCAGTTGCTGCCCTTCCCCCTGCCCACCTGCTGGCGGATACTGGCGGGGGGGGGGACCGGAGGATCGTTTGAGAGCTTAGATGGGGCCCAAGGCTGTGTACCTGGCTGGCACGACGAGCACGGGGAGAGAGGGTCCAGGGCGAGAAGGAGCTGGGGCCAGGGATGGCCCAGTCTGCACTTCTTTGTGTCCACACCACACAAGGTTTCCTAATGCTAGATCTCAGAGCTGAAGGAACCCGGCTGAGGGCGCCTGGCCACCCCCTGATTTATATATAGGTGAGGAAGATGAAGCCCAGAGGTGTGAAGGGGCTTGTGCAAGGTCACACAGCTAGCGAGTGGCAGGACTGGTCCCCTGGCTCCCACTCCAGGACCTCTTCTGGGTGCACCCCTAGCCTCACCCCCAGGATGAAAATGGATGGTTCATTTCAATTCTTTCGGTCACTGCAAGTGGGACTGTCCCACTGTCAGAGGGAAGGAGGGGCCAGGTGTGGTCCTAGTAGTCAAAGTCCCACTTAGCAAGATGTTTTCAGCAACTGAATGCTGAGTGTCCTCTTCCCTTGCCAGTTTCTCTGATGCTCCCCACCCTGGCTAAGGAAATCACCTGTGGGAGTGACATCCAAGTCTTCTCACCAAGCAGCAGATGGAGAGTGAAACTGGGAATTTCTCCATTCTCACTGAAGACCAAACAAAGGGCAATACCTCAGGGTCAGGGAGGGCAGAGCGGGAGACTCAGGTGCCAGGGACAAGTGGGAACAGCCGGGGACAGCCTCTGCTCTGCCAGAGCGGTCTTGGCTCTCCAGACCCCAAGGGTCTGCTCTGGAGGAGGGACACAGGAGGGACAGCCGGGTCCCCGCAGGGCTGCCCCTGCACACCTCCTCCTGGACCAGGAAGCCTTCCTGGACCCCTCCCCCACCCCAGCCCCCACCAAGTCCTCCACCCCCAGCATACCCTGTTCCCACCCCCCCACTCCTTCTCTGGGTGTGTGGAGCAGCAGAAGTGATGACGTCACCACGGTCGCCAGGGCGACGGGGACGGATAAATCAGGCTGAGTGGGCGGTTGCCATGGTGCGCATTCTCCCGTTGCCACGGAGACTGGGCATCTGCTCCCTTTGTGCTGCCTGAGTGCCTTCCCCCTGAGGTCAAGGGGTATAGGGGGGCAGAAAGAGAGGTAGACACACCTCCAGGGTAGAAGAAAGTCTGGGCCTCTGTGGGGGTCTCCTTCAGTGTAGAGCTCACCTTGGAGCTCCTCCATGGGGTGGTCTGTCTCTCCCACTTTGTGGAATGGTGGCAGCTCTGGCTGAATAGCCCCTTGGTTGGTCTCTACCTCAGGACACGGGTCTCAGGGGCAGCCCTCTTCCCTCAGGAGAGCAGCACCTATTCCTGGCCCAGGCTTCCAGACCAACCTTCGTCTGGAGCTTTGCCCCATGAGCATCTTCCTTCACATCCTCTCTCCACTGCCTGGAGTCCCTCAGGCCCTAAGCCCAGGGGAAGCTGGGCCCTGTCCCTCCTTCCCAGCCGAATCTTAGGGCGCTGGGCTCTGGGCCTTGCTGACCTGGGCAGGGCTCTCGGGTGTTCAGGACCAAGCAGCTGCCTTCTCTTCTCTCCTGTAGATGAACAGGCCGATCCAGGTCAAGCCCGCCGACAGCGAGAGTCGAGGAGGTAGGTTCTGTGCCTTCGGACCTGGTCCCCCTGCTCCCGCTTCAGGCCCAGGCCTTGGAGAAGCTGAAGCGCAGAGTCTTGAGGAAGAAAGCAGACAATTCTAGGGTTTCTTCCCCAGTCAGGGTGGGGACAGGAGTTGAGATCCAACCCACCATAGAGATGGAAGAGCTGAGGCCCAGACACGTGCAAGTCCTTCAGAGCTGGGATGAGCACTCTGTGTACCGGCACCCCCTTCCCACCCCAGAGCCGCTGGTCCCCGTGTGGGGAAGTAGCATCAGGAGGAGGTGGGAGGGCTGAGAAAGCAGCCAGCAGGCCCTGAACATGCCCCTCCCCTGCGCCCTACCCCCCAGAAGACCGGAAGCTCTTTGTGGGGATGCTAGGGAAGCAGCAGACAGATGAAGATGTCCGCAAGATGTTCGAGCCGTTCGGGACCATAGACGAGTGCACTGTGCTCCGGGGACCGGATGGCACCAGCAAAGGTAGCCGGCTGTGCGCGGCCCCTCCCTGGCAGCCCTTTTACCTTCCCTCCCTGCCCTTTGGGGCCTGGCAGTGGGTCCCCCGGTGGCCCTCAGATTCATACTCACCCCTTTTCCCTCCATCTCCAGGCTGCGCCTTCGTGAAGTTCCAGACCCACGCCGAGGCCCAGGCAGCCATCAACACCCTTCACAGCAGCCGGACGCTGCCGGTGAGCCCTGCTCTTCTCCCAGCCCCTCCTGCCTGTCCGGCCCACCTGCCCTGGCACAGAGCGGAGACAGTGAGAACAGGACAGAAAAGCGGGCTTCCGGCAGAAGAGAGGAACCTCACATAACTCCGCCCCTCTCCTCTCCGTAGCCCTCACGCTCCGTCCAAATCCGCTCACCCTGTCTTCCTGCCTCCTCCATTCCTCAGTTCCCCTTTCACCTCGCATCTCCGGATCACCCACCTGCCTTCCCCCATCCCCCGCCCCTTTGCTGGGGTACTGAGCCCTCGCTTTGTCCCCCCTGCTCTTTACCATTGGACCAGCCCAGTGTAGGCTGGGAGTCCCGGCAGAGCAGACCTCCAGTCAGAATAGCTGGCCTGAAGGTATGGGCTTCCCTTAACTCGCAGCTGCCTGGCAGAGGCTGGGCGAGCACTGAGTGCACGCAAGGGGGTGGCAGGGAGGCAGAAGCGGGTAGAGAACTGCTTTAGCTGACCCTAGACCCTTTCCAGCTCTGAGTGTCTAGGGTTCTCTAACAGTCCTTGCAGATGTTCCAATCTGGTCTTTATTCGGCTCAGGGCAGTATTAACATTTGTGACTGTGACCACCAGGCGCATCGCAAGGCCACAGGCATGGGGGTGGGAATCGTGCAAGGGAGGCAGGCAGCTCCAAGGTGAGATTAAACATTTGTGTGCCTGACCCCCCGGCGGGGGGAGCTCCAGCTCAGAATCCTCTTGGAAAAGCCAGCGATGCCCTGATGCCCTTCCCTTTCCGGTGGGCCCGCCACTTTTTGAGCACATGCCTCCACATTTCGACCTCTGTCTCCGCTTTGGCACATCTCAGCACAGGCCCCTTAGACGTGGGCCGGGCCGTGGAGGCTGGGGATGAGGCCAGGTGTGGGCAGCGGGGAGAGAGATGCTGACCGCCCCTCTGCACACGTGGGCCCACACCCAGGGTGCCTCGTCCAGCCTGGTGGTGAAGTTTGCTGACACAGAGAAGGAGAGAGGTCTCCGCCGAATGCAGCAGGTGGCCACCCAGCTGGGCATGTTCAGCCCCATCGCCCTCCAGTTCGGAGCCTACAGCGCCTACACCCAGGCCGTAAGGGCTGCCCTGGTGCTCCCTGTCCCCGAGTCCCTCTGGCCCGTCCTGCTCCACCATCCCAGCATCAGGACCCAGGGTGGGTGGCAGACAGGCCAGGGCCTGGGGGCCTGGCCCCACTCTCCTCTCCTCCCACCCCAGCTGATGCAGCAGCAGGCGGCCCTGGTAGCGGCTCACAGTGCCTACCTCAGCCCCATGGCCACCATGGCTGCCGTGCAGATGCAGCACATGGCCGCCATCAATGCCAATGGCCTCATCGCCACCCCCATCACCCCATCCTCAGGTAAGACAGGAGCGGGCCAGGCATGAACAGGGCAGGGCCAGGCGCCACAGCACGGCGGGATGGAGATGGGAAGCTGCTGGGTCCAGGAAAGGGCCAGGGGTCAGAGTGGGCTGCTTGCTTCTGTCTGCTCTCTGACTGGCGGACCGTTTCTCTGCATCGGCGCGTCTGGTTGTCTGCGCTCTCTGTCACTTTCTCCTCCCCAGGAACCAGCACCCCTCCTGCCATCGCTGCCACGCCCGTCTCTGCCATCCCTGCTGCCCTGGGTGTCAATGGCTACAGCCCGGTGCCCACCCAGCCCACTGGGCAGCCTGCCCCTGATGCTCTGTATCCCAACGGGGTTCACCCCTACCCAGGTGGGGCTCCCTGCCTGACTACCCTGCCCAGCAACCATCTAGGCTGCGCCATGACACACTGTCCCTCTCCAGCCTCGGGCTTCAAGGTGCTTTATCCTGTTCTCATCTTGGGCAGGAATGCTCCTGTTCTCAGCCAGGGATACGGAGGCTCACAGAGCCAAACCAACTTGCCCAGGCTGGCCAGCCGGGCACGAACTCGAGTCCTCCTAACACAGGCTCTTTCCCCCTTCCCACCGCCATTTGTTCCCCTTCTCACCTTACATTCGTGCCTGGATGAGGCCCTCCCCATCACTGTCCTGTACTCAAAAGGTGCTGCTGGGGTTCCTGCTCTGCCCCAGGCCCGCTCATGTCCATGCTGCTCTCTCCAGCCCAGAGCCCCGCGGCCCCGGTGGACCCCCTGCAGCAGGCATACGCGGGCATGCAGCACTACACAGGTGAGGCCCCTAGCCCAGGCCCTGCCCAGTGGGATGAGTGGCAAGAGGGAAAGGGGCCCAGGAACCAGGTCTGCGCTTCTCAGCTCCCTGCCAGTCACCCCCTTCAGGCTTTCCTGCCAGACCATACCCATGAAGGTGAATCTTTAGGGGCGGAGCACGCAGGGGCCTGGGGCCGCTCCTTCCCTGTGATTCCACTGGCCTCGGCTGGGGAGAGGGGCAGGGCTGACTGGAGGATTCATGGCAGCCCCATTTGTTCTCTCTGTTCTCCGAAACCCAGCAGCCTACCCAGCAGCCTACAGCCTGGTTGCACCTGCGTTCCCACAGCCTCCGGCCCTGGTCGCGCAGCAGCCTCCTCCACCCCAGCAGCAGCAGCAGCAGCAACCGCAGCAGCAACAGCAGCAGCAACGAGAAGGTGTCACTGGGGTCAGGGTCCTCACAGCCAGGAGCCTTGAGGGACAGGAGTGCTCTGGTTGTGGGCTTAGGGGCTCCCAATTGCCCTGGGCTGAGCCCAATTCTCACCCAGCTGTGGTGATGAAGGCGAGTGGAGAGGCAGTGACAGGATCCCTGGTTCACACTGCTGTGGTTCAGCTAGGCTTGACGGTGCCCCCAGGGCAGGCTGCTCCTGCTGCACCAGTCTGTATCTGCCCATCGCTGAGCTCTCCCATCTACTGCCATACAGGCCCTGATGGCTGCAACATCTTCATCTACCACCTGCCACAGGAGTTCACGGACTCAGAGATCCTCCAGATGTTTGTCCCTTTTGGCCACGTCATCTCAGCCAAAGTTTTTGTTGACCGGGCCACCAATCAGAGCAAATGTTTTGGTAAGAATACCATGATCCAAAGACAAAGTATGGACCTGTGTGTGTGTGTGTGTGTGTGTGTGTGTGTGTGTCTAACTCCAAATTAGGACAAGGTCTTATGCATTCGGGGGCAGTTATGGTCATAATAGACCAAGTATTTGAAACTCTGAGAATCTAGAGGCATGAAAGAGATCTTTGACACATTCAGCAACTCTTCCTGCAGAATTTCACAGCTTCGTCCCTCACCTTAGGGTCCAGCCTTGGGGCTGGGGTGCAGTTCAGTGAGAGAGCATGTGCTTAGCATACATACACCCTGGGATGCTCAGCATCAAACAACAAACAAAACAAAAAACCCCAGCTGAATGTATGTTTTATGAAGTCTGAAATGGTTCAGTTTAAGGGTGATTGGTTTTTTAAAGGGAGTGGGTTTTATTTGCCTTCACATTTGTGAAAGGCTGCTTCAAAAACCATCTAGGCATTGTGGCACACACCTGTAATCCCAGAACTTGGGAGACTGAGGCAGGAGGATTGCCATGAGTTCGAGGTTAGCCTGGGCTCCATAGTGAGACCTTGTCTCAAACAAAACAAAAGCAAACCCATTTAGGGGTCTAGAAGTGTTTTCAAAAGTCAGGTTCAGAGCTATACAGACTGAGGAAGGGGTCACCCTGCAAAGAATGCTGGCAAGAATATCCCATTTAGTTTTTGTGAGTGGCTGGACTAAATTCCTTCATTCAATCCATCAATTAGCAGATTCCTTCTGAATGCTATGTGCCAAGCCGCATCAGAGACACTGGAAGAAGTAGGGTGGTGGTGGGAAACTGGAGAACACATCCCCAACCCTAAGCACAGGAGAGTAGGCTGGGGCTGGGCCTGGGCCTGATGCCCCTCTCACCTCAGGCTTTGTGAGTTTCGACAATCCAGCCAGTGCCCAGGCTGCCATCCAGGCCATGAACGGCTTCCAGATTGGCATGAAGCGCCTCAAAGTCCAGCTAAAGCGGCCAAAAGATGCCAACCGGCCCTACTGAGGCCCCAGGTGGGTGCTGGTCCTGTCTGTGCCTTCCTCTCCAGCCCCTGTATGTCGCAGCCAGGGCCCAGGAATGCCCCCCCGCCAGGGCGCCTACTCCCACCTGACTGGGATGAGATCCAGGATCTGGGGTGGCTCCCTTACCTGTTGGTCAACCGTGTCTCTCTTTCACACACACACACACACACACACACACACACACACACACACACACACACACACACACCCTTGTGATCCCAGAAACAACCAAATGTGCATCTGTGTCCACTCCCAGGTCTTTCACAGTATCTGGTCTTATTTGTCTGGTCAGTGTCCATGTTTCTGTGTATCTCTCTCTTTCTGTTTTCCTTTGGGTTGGATGGAATTAGGGGAGTAGGATTTGGAGGACAGGGGGCTGGTTCAGGGTACTGGAGAGTCCTAGAATCGCTGGCTCCTGGAATTGTTCTCCTGAGAAGTGGGTACACCAGGTCCTTGTTGCCCTGAGCTTTGGGTGATTTTCTTATGAAACAATGAACTCTGGGCAGGAGAGCATGGGAGAGACTGGGGGAAGCCACTTCTAGACCCCCTGGGAGTCACCAATTAGGTGGAGGAGGTTGGAAAGTTGCACTGTCTGTGAATTTTGCTCATCAGGTCCTCTCTGCCCCTTGCTGTCCACCATCCCAAACTTAGGGCCACAGATCCGTGAGCCTTGGTTATTTTTGTGTTGTTTAGTCTCCTTTGGGCCAGACCCCTGAAAAAACACAACCCAAGAACAATACCCACATTTTCTGTTTCTCCCCTTTCCCCCCAATCCTGGCTGCTTAACTCCCCCAACCCTGGGGGCCCCCCAGCCCAGGGCCTGTGTCCATTGTCGGCTGAAGCCCCCATCCCCGGACCCCTGCTCCGGGCCCCTGTAAGTTGCATGGAACGAGCGTGTTGTCTTTGGAGCCGATTGTTTGTTATTTGGGGAGGGGCCGTGGAGGGAAGCGCCCCCCAGCCCGGGG